TGGTGCCACCATACCAAACAAACCGGCCTATAGAAGTAATCCGGAGGAAACAAAGGAACTTCAAAAACAAGTTGGTGAGTTAATGGAAAAAGGGTACATTCGAGAAAGCCTAAGTCCATGTGCTGTTCCTGTTTTGGTTGTACCAAAGAAGGATGGTTCATGGAGAATGTGTGTAGATTGCCGAGCAGTTAATCAGATCATTGTCAAATACCGACATCCAATTCCAAGGCTTGACGATATGCTGGATGAACTAAGTGGTGCCACCATCTTCTCCAAAATTGATCTTAAAAGTGGATATCATCAGATTAGGATGCGAGAAGGAGATGAATGGAAATCTGCTTTCAAAACAAAGCAAGGATTGTACGAATGGTTGGTTATGCCCTTTGGACTAACCAATGCACCTAGTACTTTCATGAGGTTAATGAACCATGTACTTCGGGCTTTTATTGGTAAGTTTTGTGTGGTATATTTCGATGATATTTTGATTTATAGCCATACTTTGGATGATCATTTGCAACATTTGAGGTCAGTACTTGAAACTCTCCAAAAAGAGGAACTTTATGCTAACCTTCAAAAATGTTCTTTTTGCACTAACAAGCTTACATTCTTAGGATTTATTGTAAGTTCACAGGGACTTGAAGTAGATCCAGAAAAGATTAAAGCAATTCAGTACTGGCCAAGACCTACATCAATAAGCCAAGTCAGAAGTTTTCATGGACTTGCAAGTTTTTACCGGAGATTTGTACCCAATTTTAGTTCTATTGCCTCTCCCTTAACTGGGGTAATTAAAAAGAATTCTACCTTTGAATGGGGCAAAGAACAAGAAGAAGCATTCACGGCCATCAAGGAATGCTTGACTAAAGCACCGCTTCTGGTACTTCCTAATTTCGATAAAACTTTTGAAATAGAATGTGATGCTTCTGGAATTGGTATAGGTGCCGTTTTGACTCAAGAGGGATGATCAGTTGCATACTTTAGTGAAAAGTTAAGTGGTGCTTCACTAAACTACCCTATTTATGACAAAGAGATGTATTCTCTTATAAGGGCATTAGAGACGTGGCAACACTATCTATGGCCCAAGGAATTTGTCATTCATACTGATCACGAGGCATTGAAGCATATTAAAAGCCAACACAAACTCAACAAACTACATGCCAAGTGGATAGAATTTCTTGAGTCCTTCCCATACGTCATTAACTACAAGAAAGGTAAAGAGAATGTTGTTGCAGATGCCCTTTCACGAAGGTATGTTCTTCTTAACACCTTAAACTCTAAGTTACTTGGTTTTTATTTCCTTAAAGATTACTATGCTAATGATCATGATTTTGGAGAGAAATACAAGTCTTGTGAAAAGGGTGCAGTGGAGAAATTCTATAGACATGATGGGTACCTATTCAAGGAAGAAATGCTATGTATTCCACAAGGTTCCTTTCGAGAAGTATTGGTACGAGAAGCACGTGAAGGAGGGCTCATGGGACATTTTGGAATCGGTAAGACATTGGAAATCTTGAAAGAACATCTCTATTGGCCTAAGATGAAAAGGGATGTTGAACGGGTTTGTGATAGATGCATCGTTTGCAAAAAGGCTAAGTCAAAGGTCATGCCTCATGGACTTTACACACCTCTTCCCATTCCTATAGCACCATGGGTTGATATTTCCATGGATTTTGTGATGGGTCTTCCAAAAACAAGAAATGGGCGAGATTCTATATTTGTGGTGGTTGATCGGTTTTCCAAAGTGGCCCATTTCATACCATGTCACAAAACCGATGATGCAACCCATGTGGCTAATCTATTCTTCAAAGAAGTTGTGAGATTGCACGGCATACCAAGGACCATTGTTTCTGACCGAGATGTCAAGTTCCTTAGCCATTTTTGGAGAACATTATGGAACAAACTTGGAACTAAATTATTGTTTTCAACAACTTGTCACCCCCAAACTGATGGGCAAACGGAGGTAGTCAACAGAGTATTATCAACATTCTTGAGAGCCATCATCAAGAAAAACATAAAGACTTGGGAAGACTGCCTACCACATGTTGAATTTGCTTACAACCGGTCAGTTCATTCGGCCACAAAAATTTCACCATTCGAGGTAGTGTATGGATTCAATCCCTTAACTCCTTTGGACCTTCTTCCTCTACCTCAAGAACAAATGGTTCACAAGGATGGCAAGAACAAGGCTGAGTTCATCAAGAAGTTACATGAACAAGTTCGGCACAATATTGAGAGAAGAACAAAGCAGTATGAGCAACAAGCCAATAAGGGACGTAAACCACTCTATTTGGAAGTTGGAGATTGGGTATGGGTGCATTTGCGAAAGGAAAGGTTTCCTACTAAAAGGAAATCTAAGCTTTTACCAAGAGGAGAAGGTCCCTTTCAAATCATTGAGAAGATTAATGACAATGCATACAAGTTACATCTTCCCGGAGAATACAATGTAAGTGCCACCTTCAATATAGCAGATCTATCTCCAATCAAGGATGATGACAATTTGGGGACAAATCGCATAAAAGAAGGGGGGATGATGTGAGTACACCAACGCCACCTTCAAAGGATATGGAAGTAATGCCACAAGGACCAATAACTCGATCAAGGGCCAAACTTTTCAGGGAAGCTCTTACTACCAAATGCATTAAAACCTTTGAATCATTTAGAAATGCATCCCCAAATAATAGATTATATAATATGTTTTATGTTGACATATAATATAATCTATGAACCACATATTTATATCTTATATTACTTAGCTTATAAATGCTTTCTTTTGTAGGTACATGTTCGGCCACATCATGGGAGCTGATTTAAAGCTAGAATTGGAGTCAATAAGCTTGGAAATCTTACATAAGATGACTCGGGAGATCATGAAGAACAAATGATGAAAAGTTGTCAGCTGACCTCCGAGCTCATAGCTCACTTTAGCTGGACTTTTGAGCTAGCTAGAGACTTCATTTCAGCTGGAGAGTTGCACCATCATCTTCACCACATAGAGCACTACAAATATGGTCTAGGTCAAATTTTATGAATTCGTACCTTTCCGCGAAGAGTTCCCATTCCGAGAAGTGCTTTTTCACAAGGAGCTGTCCTATGACTTGTACACATGTCCTTCATCTATGGTCAACTCAACTTCAGCTCAAACTCATGGGAAGTAGCTCAAATGATGAAAGGCTGTTTCACACAAATGTGACCTTTCATAATTAGTTGCTGCCCCATTGATGCCATGTCACCTAGACACATGTTTGATGCCAAGTCACGCATAAGTTACTGTTCATCTTCACGCCATGGAGGAATCCACGCCTTAAGCATTCTACACCATCCATGTGAGTGCCACATGACTAGCAACCCATGTGCTTTGCATGTGAATGAAATAGGCGCCAAAATGAAAAGGCTTCTCTCTATTCGGCCTAAACATCATCATGCTTCAAGTTGGCGCCAAGATGAAGAGATATGGGAACCATTCGACCAAAGACATCTCCCCTCATCCAAGCATCATTTATTTTCGTTTTAAGACATGTACTTTGCCGAAAAGGCATGTATTTATTCGGCCAAGCCTTTACAAATCTATAAATAGGCTTTGGCATTCATTTGTAAACTACCCTTTGATCAATTAAAAATCCTTTTGTGAGATTATTCTCTCTTCAAGTTCTTTTTAGAACTATATCGATTAAGCAAGCCTTTCTAAAGCTTGTGGCGTCATTCCTTCACCTGGATACTTCTGGTTCCTAGTTTAAATAACTAGTGGGTCAAAGTCCTTTCATACCATCCCTTATAGAACTTATAAGAAACGGGTCTTTGCTCCTTTATAGCATTGGTTCCTTCTTAGTTTTATAAGATACTATCTATTCATCACCACCTTCCATCACCATTTTCACGCCTATAACATCACCATAGTCCATCACTTTCACACCAACTCTACCACCATTCCAATAACATTTCATCACTATTAAATCATCCTTCATTCATAAACAAGGCATACTTCATCACCACCATTGGAGGCCGAAGTCAACATCACTTGAAGGAGATTTATTCAACACTTCCGCAGCCCATCTTGATAACATTCCTTTCCATTTCTATTCTTTCCAATTCCATTCACTTTTAATTTCTTAATTATCATATTAATTAAACAATTCTTCTTCTTTTGTGCAGATTACTTTCAATCCAAGGTGTAGCATTTGGTGTCTCTCCTAGATCGGGAAACAACAAGGTTGCCAACTTCTCCATTATTGAAGAAGCCTGGTTAGCCTTACATCACTACCAGTTATCCGACAAACAACCACCATAACAACAACTTATGAACTCTAGATTGTGACGAACAAAGATACTACGACTCCACGATGACCATCGCAACTCCACGGCAAAGACGACATCGTCATATTATAGAGATGGCCAGGACTGCGACAAAAACGGTGGTTGCGGCCGAAAAGGAAGGTAAGGTTAGGGTAAGGGTTCGGGATTTTGGGTTTATGTAATTTTAGATAAATTTGAGTTTTTTATAAATAAATTTTTTAAGTTTTTTAATTTTTTAATTTTTTTAAAAAATTACTAGAATGTAAAATGTGTGATTTTATGAAGATTTTTAAATATAGTTACGACCGAGACACCTAAAATGATAATTTTTATAACGTTTGATATTAGAATAAATAAAAAATTTAAACATCTATTTAAAAAATAATATAATTTAGACACTTACTTTCCTATTAAACTTAAAAAAAACGATAAATGAAATGAGGAGGCTCGTGGGGGCGGAAGCTCATAAGTTGCCAGTGGCACAACAGTAAATTGCAAGGGAGAAAAGAAACAGAGAGATGGGAGAAAAGAATAGGGCAGACCAAGCCAGGACAAAACTGTCATTCCGAGGACATAAATTTTAAGGATCATATCTATTCTCTCCCTTCCCACTGTAACTGAAAACGACTGCAAGCAACTTGTGGTCTACCTATGGCTATGGATATATAAAATAATTGATCTCTCTTTTCCATATAAAAGCTTCACAAGTCACAACATGATGTATACGCCAACCGACTCTCAATTCTGAAACCATCTTTCATTATATGCCTCTCTTGTAGTTGCAGTTATCTTCCTCCCATTTTATTAATCTCCCCCATCAAATCTTCTTCGTCTTTTTAATAATTCAACGCCTTCTTGTTCAGTTATGGTGGATCTTCAAACTGTCTGCTGCATGTGCGGAGACGTTGGTTTCGCCGACAAACTCTTCCGCTGCAACAAATGCCACAACCGCTTTCAGCACTCGTATGTCTTCTTCTCTTATGTCCTTCCACGCATGAAAGCTATCATCATCTTATTTATTGATCATGGCAGGTATTGCAGTAACTATTACAGCGAGTTCTCGGAGCCGACTTTACGGTGTGATTGGTGCCAAAGCGAAGAAAGAAACTCGAGGCACGGAAGCTCTTCAAAGAAATCACCGGGTGGGAACGGAACTGGAATGATTGTGAAGCTATCAGAGTATTCGGGTGACAAAATCAAGCAACATGATCGAGATTATGAGAATCAAAAAGGGAAGCGCAGTGGCGCTCCTTCTCCAAGGCCAACAACACGCAGGTACAAGCTTCTCAAGGATGTCATGTGTTAAAAAAACACTTCAAAAAACAACCCATCTACCAAGAAAAAAACAGGAGAACCTTTTCTGTACTGGTACTAGTAGCAACTAAGCAAATGTTTCTAAGGTTTAATCCAGTAGTGTCTTCTTTTGAGGTTTCAGTTTCACCTTTTCCCTGTAAATTGCTAATAAAATAATGTAGAACTTTTTATAAAATGAAACGGTGGCACAAGTTTTTAAGCCTTTTTCCCCCCTTCGATTCTTTGTCTGCCCCCGTTTGTCCTACTGTTTATAAGGTGAAGGAAAATTATTGAAGCATGACGACCGATGAGAAAGGGTTTCGTGCATGAAAAATGTTAATTGAAAAACATAACCTGACTCTGACAGAACAAAAAGTTGTGATCAGTATGGGAGTTTTTAGGCTGATTATATTTATGCAGTACCTACTAGCTAGCTAGGTTTGTTTTGTCACCAGCAAAGGGTTGCACATACATTTCCCTTGGCTTCCTGGAATCTGCTGATGAGGAGAATTCAATGCACTTAACTTGTTTTGCCTTTTTAGCCAGAAAATTCATGCCAACCAAAGCTGCAAACATTTTTAGATTCATTCAAGGCCTTTAATTTCGAGCCCCCCATGATTAGTTTTTTAGAAGAGAAAACCAAGAAAAGAATTGTCTGCAAAATGGGTAATTTTATATTATATTCCTTTATTCTGTGAAGAAGATAAAATAAAATGATGGTAAACCAAACAAATATCTCCAAAGTACAGACACAGCTGATTAAACTCTCTTCCCTCCACTGTTATCTGTTTTCCCATTTATGAGAAACCGACAAACCCTTTTTTTTCCTCCTTGGGACAATGGAGCTCAAGTCATAGACATGTCTATTTCTCATTTTTTTCTTCTTTTCTCCTCTCTTTTACCAAATCTCTCTCTTCTTGTACGTAAGTTTGGTCTGATGTCTTCATGTGAAGGTGGTTTAAAGAAGAAGGAAAGTAACCATAAACATAAGAGTGAAGATGACCCAATTTCCTTTTCTTTCTATACTTCCCTTTCTTTACAAACAATCATCAAGTTGATTCACATGGTAGCTGCCCTCGCCTTGCTCTCTCCAACGCCTTCCATTATCCTACTTACAAGCAACTCTTCACTATTCTATATACACATGTATGGAGTAATCTTCTGGGTCTGGCCATCAACTCATCTGATATGGAATCGTTTGATATTAAAACTGCGTGTGAGAAGCCATATAAAATCCATGTTTTTCATTCTTGGGTTCTAATATTTATTTTATATTGTTGCAGATAAAACTATTTTCCTTCAGGAACCCAATCCTCCTTTCATGTGTCTTAAATTAGATATAAAACTATATACTCCTAAATCCTATGTCTCGGTGGAGTCAGAGCCATCAGTCCCATTTATGATATTTTAGTGGCATATAGCGAATATAAAAATTAGACATTTAATAAAAAAAATATTGTAAAAAATGAATCATGAGAACAAATATGATTAAATAAATTTAATTTGTAAATTGTTTTTCATTACGTTTAATAAGTTATATCTAATAAATGTATCAAATTTTAAATAAAAAACATCAAGAAATTTTATTAAAAACTCGTAAACGTATTTAAATATGAGTTAAAATGTCACAATAACTTGTAAACACTTGCTACACAAAAATTGAGTAAAAATTTAAACCTTTTTGAAATTTATTCATAATTTTCCTTTTCGTATAATTTATTAATCACTTAATATAAAATTTAATATTTTGATCTTAAAATCAGATCTGGATTAAGATAGTAATTTGGCAGTTAATACTAATTCATATTTAAAACAAAACTACCTAAAACTATCTTCTTAAAATTTTATTTAAATAACAATATAACTATAATTTAATAATTACTTTTCATGCAAAATAGTAGTAATATCAAATAACATGCACACCACTTATACTAATTTATATAATACAATCTGACTTATGAAATTAGTCTATCAGAGCAAAAAACATATATTTAATATACATGCCAACTAGATAAGTCAAAAGCGGTAAATATCGTACTGATACTGAAATAGGTCTGATCCACAAAAAGTGATGCCCGCTATGATTCCTACTCCACTGACTAATCTTTTCCTTCACCTATGCATGAAAATATTCAAACGCTAAGTAACAACTTAATGAGGTATTATTTATAATAAATAAATCATATTTACATAAAAATGAATAAATAAATATTTCTTATAGAAAATGTCTTGTAACAAATATAAGAACATATAACAGACTGAATAATTCTTTCTTTCATCATAAACCTAAAATATTATTTCAGAACACCCTTATCCATAATCACATATAAAAACATTGAAAGAAAGATTTACTTTCACTGAATCAATACATTGAAAGAAAGATTTACTTTCAATGAACCAGTCATTCCAACATATTTCATAACATTTAACAAATAGCTCAATGTACACAATTGATAATACTAGGTACCCGAGTCACAACGAGTGTGTGCATAATATGCAGTCGTAACTGCCAGAACAGAACACACCCTTGGTGCTAGAACGCACAACTAGTGCAAGCTATATGTAATACCCCAAATAGTAGGTCAATTACTATTTTGAAAGGAATTAAAATTTGGAAGACTAAATTGAATAAATGGTAAAGTATAAGAAATGATTTAAGTAAGACCAATTAGTAAGAAATGGAATAATAAAGGGAATTTTGGTCTTCTAGAGTGAAATGAATTTAAAACCCATTTAAAATTAGGATTTAAGAAAAAGGGGAAAGTTAAAAAACTATACTAAGTTATTTTACTCCTCTTATTCTTCTTCCCGTGGTTGAGTGTTCTCCTTCATAGCTTAAGGTAAGCTTCATCTAATTAGTGTTTCCTTTCGATTTTGGTTGGTTCTTGCAACCTTAAGTGATATGTAAGCTTAAGGAAAGGTTATATAAGATTAAAACTATGAGATGGAGGAAATATTGAAGATTTAAGAAAATGGGTTTTGAAATGATATGTTAAGATATGAGTGTTTATTGATGTTTACTAGTATATTTGACTTGTCAAAGAGGTAAATGAGAGATTAAAAGCATTGGATGGGTTTAAAAACAAGTTAGAAAAAGTGGTGTGATTCTTAGATTGAAATGTTCTTGGGAGATGTTAGATGTTTTAAGAAGCTAAATGAAGGAAGGTTGGTAGGGATAAGTAAAAAAGAGTTTAATAGCATTGTTGGGTGTAAATATAAGGAAATTTGACCAAATTTGGGTAAGAATCAGACAGAAAAATGGAAAATATGGGTTAGGGTATCGATACTGATAGAACAGTACCGATACTATAGCTTAAAATTGGAAGAATCAGTCGTGTAGAATCGATACTAATGCAAGTAGTATTGATACCGAGAGGGGATCGATAATATGAGGAAGGTATCGATACCATTGATAACAAAATACAGAAATGGTATCGATATCGTAATAGAGTATCGGTACTATAGTATAGTAGTACCGATACCATGGTAGGGGGTATCGATACTATTGAGCCAGAAATTGTAAGATATACTGAAATTGTTATAGAAATGTAAATAATAGTACTAATGAACATTATTAAAGTATAAATGTTAAGGAATATACTAACATTTAGTAAGGTGTATGTCTTTAATAAATGTGTGTGTAGATCGTAATCAAACTCTCGAGTCAAACAAAACAAAAGGCAAAGGTAAAGTAGCTGAGTAATCATAGTTGCGTTTTGGATATAATAGCGAGGTAAGCCAGGTAAGTGCATTGATTATGTATTTATATGTTGTGATAGTCACAGATGTATGTTGCTTAATGTATGTATGGTGATTACCGAATGGCACTATATGTGTGCAAAATTAAGAAATTCATAATGAGTTTATGAATTTTCGTATGGGCACTTTGTGTGCAAAAACTAAGAAATTCATAATGAGTTTATGAATTTTCGTATTTGCACTTTGTGTGCAAAAACTAAGAAATTCATAATGACTTTATGAATTTCCGTATGGGCACTTTGTGTGCAAAAACTAAGAAATTCATAATGAGTTTATGAATTTTCATATGGGCACTTTTTGTGCAAAACTAAGAAGTAAGAAGTTCATAATAAGTATATGAATTTTTGTATTTGTAATGTGTGTAACCCATGTAAATTATAGTAATGTTTGGAAAATGACGGTATGGGCACTATAGAGTGTTTAATGAATTGAAAGAATTAATGGACATTAGAAGTTGCATGATATATTTGTGTTTAAAATTTTGTTTATGATTATTTATGCCTCACTAAGAAATTTCTTAGCGTGTGTTAATTTCACGCGTAGGTGTTAATACAAGTGGAGTAAGAAGACTATCGGACATCAAAGCAAGTGTCGCCTCGTTAGTAACAATCCGACATCTATGTCTACTTTTGATGTATTTAATTGGCATGTAATAGATTTAGTAAAAACACTTTGAAAAATATTTGATTACCATTATGTAAAATGATGAAATGTTTGAACATTACTTTTGTTTATCTATGTAAGTTTAATGCATGTTTTATTATTATTAAATTAAAATGTTTTGTAAAAAGGAACAAAATTTTACGGGTTTTCAAGTGTGGAACTGTTTTAAAGTGAAGTGACATATGTATATCATGTACGGAAGGTATACGAGAGATGGATGTTACATTTATTGGTATCAGAGCTACAGGCTTAGTCGATTCTCGTCGAAATCTAGTGTATTTTAATGTAAAAAGGGTTTACATGCCACTAAGATATCAAGTTTATTGATAGGGTATAGAAAGAATATGACATATGTCTCTCTTTACTAACTTAAGTATTATCTTTATGTATGTTATACTAGATGTCGGATTCTACGAATTTGAGAAGAGAGACTGAACGAAAGAATAGAGATGGATCGAGTAGTGAAAGTTATGAAGAGAATAGTTAACATCCAATTCCGTCTGAGAACGCCAGCGCACTGGCACATCAGGGTATGCCCGTGTTAGAGTTTGGAGCTTTTATGCAAGCTCTCGATACTATTTTGATAAGGTTCCAACCTCCTACGCCTCTCCTTGCTTCTCCAACACCACGAATGTTAATCCCTAAGGAGTTAAGAAGTTTGGAGCTCTTGAGTTTTGGGGAGAAGAAAGTGCAGGTCCGATGGACGCTAATTTATGGTT